GCACCTTCCACAGTGAATGCATGTATGGAGGATGGGAATGAACAGGCACAAAAACCGCCTTGATTGAGATATTGTCAGGACAAATTGACAGCAGAAGCAATGTTGTTGGGATTTTGTTCGGAAATGCAAGAATAGTTTGATCTGTGATCACCGAGGAGTGTAGCGAGCACCCCCGCCCGGAGTCCACGACTCCTACGGCTTACCCCTGAAGCCACGTGCGATCTAAGCACGAAATAGCGACCGCGTCTCGCCACACATGAGTTTTTCTTTCTCTCTCCCCAAACCATCTGGTTCTCCTTTCTGACCTTTCCGATTGGATTGCTAGGATTGCATGCATGCGATGAATGTTTAAAATATTCCTGATTATTTGCCATGTGGACTAACGGGCTCAACCCGACTAGGCGCCAGCCTCCCGTATCTCCTCTCCGCCCTTTCCCGTATAACGAGGACCGGACGCGAATGTGTGAGTGGGACATACGAGAAGCCGTCGCAAAGATGGGTGGGCAATATTATTTCCCTCTCGAAAATCGGTGTTCTGGGTTTGTCGGTGCTGGGTTTGTCATCGTCGATACGCATTTTCCGCCGTACTCGTTGCTATTACCATTCAGCGAGTTGATTGTCATCCGTTGGTCGGTAGTAGCGCCCCATTGGCCTAACACCTTGTGTAGTGACTGCCAACGACTGGATCACTACCAATCGAAGGGGTTCCACTACCGAACACGGAATGAGGATGAGTACAAGGAAAGGGCCAGTGATTAAGGCCTTCCACGTCGGATTCAGAATTGTGTAGCGTATGGCGTCGGGAGCTAGTGGGGAAGCGGGATACTAAACACGTGCCCGCTCCGTTTCACTCCAAACGCAGGGTTGTGGCACGGTGGGAAGTCCGACAATACTTCCTGGATTGAATTTAAATTTCCCCACATCACGGATCCCGTCCGCGCCTACTCCAAGCCCGCTCCGAAACCAGCCAAATCTCTCGCTTCATCAGACCAACACGGGGGATTTCAGTTTCGTCTGTGTCCCCACACTCAATTTTCCAAAAATCCTTGGCACACCCCATCTTGCTGTTTTTCGGGGCCCCCCTTTCTGCACCTTTAGCACGCTGAACGAAAGGCAGCGCAGGTCGTGAGGTTGGTATCGGAGCCGACACGTGTCGGTTCTGACGTTAGTGAGACGAGCTGGCGAGAGGGAGATCAGCTAAACAACCCAATCGCCTTAGTCCTCCCGTCACTCGGCAAAGATCTGTCGAGGCCCGAACAGAGATGCCCATTGCTGATGCTAATGGGGCGCCTCCCCGGGTGATGGTAAACATCCCCGCTACCTTTCCCATCTATCCTAACTACACTCATCCAGACGCATGGCTTGAAGCCGTGCAAGCGCAGGGCTATGGCGCTGAGGATCTTCCCCGCGTCATCACCCTGTTACTCCGAAACACCTCGCACGATTGGTTTAGAAGGCACCGGTGGGTAGACTGGGATACTTTCAAGAGAGCATTCCTTGCGCGATTTGACGCGGTCAGTGAAAACGATGCCTGGTTCGTATTGAAAACCCGTCCGCAGGAACCAGGGGAATTGCTACCTGACTTCGTGGATCGTTTTCAGACTGCCTTGGACAAATCGGGACGGGAAGAGAAGGAGGCTCGGGATTTGTTTATCGATCATCTCTGCAATCCCGTGTTGAAGGCGAAATTGCAGAAAAAGTTCCCCCCCAAGACAAACCAACAGTCAGTTATCATAGCCAAGGCACTTCAGTTGGATCTGCTGGATACACGTAAGTATATCAGTCAGGGAGAAGAAGACATTTCTGACACGATCTAGGACGTGGCGGCCAAGAAACAGTCCTGACTCAGAGCAGTAGGACGATTTTACCCTCGTCCCGATCATGACTACCAAGATGGCCCCTCCCCAGATCCTTCCCCGTATCACTCCTTACCCCTCATGACACCGCCTCTCCCTCCAAAAGTGGTGCCTGTGAACACGGCCATGGCCCAAGAAGCCGCATCAGTTCCCATCACCAATCTGCATCTAGCCCAGATAATCCATACCGCTACGACTAAACAGTCCGAGTGGATGAATAGCCTGCTCCAGATGCAGACTTCCCAGATGGATCGGCTAGAACAGATTATGGCCAAACCAATAAAGGCTAATCCTAGTTCTTCCCGCCCCATTCCCCCTCAGTACTCTTTGCTTACTGTAAACAGTAAGCAAGAATGCCCAGATGGATCGGCTAGAACAGATGGATCGGCTAGAACAGATTAGGACCAGCCCCTTCATATGGCTAACCCAGCGGGGAGGATCGAATGCTATAACTGTAAACAGTCGAGGCATTTCGCACAAGAATGCCCCCAGCCGAAACGTAATCAGCCGCCTCCTGCAGCCACGCCAGTAGCCTTGAACCAAGGTCGGGTGGTCGGAGTATTAGAACATGTAAGGGAAGTTTCCCCCTTCATCGTCGATCAACCCTCCTCGGTCGATCCGGGCACATCTACGTCAGGATCCTCTTCCGAGGCTGCAGATATCATCGATCCAACCGAGTACCTCCAGCTGGCTAGGCTGATCAGAGCAATCCGACCCGCCAAAGAAGAACTCGATTGGGTCGAACGTATATCGGAACTAGGACCCCAGTTCCAAACAGGAGAAATCGATGTCCTACAGACACTCAAACAGTTGGATATCTGAGTGCCGATCCCCGTAGGACATTTGCTTACCATATCCGAAGCTGCGAATGACAAGCTTCTGCAGTAATGCCAGAAGAATCAGAAGCGCTTTACCTATCAGCGTGTTCACCGTATGTTGAAGAAAAAACAGGAAGATGAGAGTGAGGCAAATCCTCCCCCGGCGGGCGAATCTAACGCACCGGAAACGGTAAGAATCGCCGCCATCTCTTATGCCGAGAGAGATCACTTTGTGCGTGTTCAATCGGTCCTATGGAAGAGTGCGGAATGTGATTGCGAAGTCTGGGGTAAACTGTTCGATGCGCTTATTGACACCGGATCATCAGCCGTAGCTATCTCCCTTAACACAGTTCGAAAGACTGGACGACTAAATTTAATCCTTCCTCTATCAGGGAAGGACAACTATGTCTCGGCCGACGAAGAGGCCATGAACATCGTAGGAATCATTGAGAACGTTGCGATCAAGGTGGGCCGAGTGCATGTGCTGGTTAACGCATTAGTCATCGACGTACACTCTTATTCGATACTGTTAGGATTGCCCTGGGCGATGGCAGTGGGCGCACGGATCCATTTTGATTCCAAACAACTCGTTCTCACTCATACGGGTGGGAAACCTCAAACACTTCCTCTCTGAATCTCTACCCAGTCACCAAGGAGATATCCCAGTATCGACTAGATAGGAATGATCCAGAGCCTGAAGAAGTCTCTCCCGAACCCTTGAAGAACAGCCCCCTGCGCGGGGAGACAAGTTCAATGAATGCGACTATGAGGAAGAACTGAGCGCTATGCCCAGTGAGAAAGAATGGAAGCGATTAGTCGAAATGTTAGATTGCGAGACTAAAGAAGAATTTCGGATAATCCCCTCAACCACTCGAACATTCGATCTAAGCTCGGAAAACAGCGAGCCCAACCGTTATCTTCCCACAGAAAGACGAACTCCCCCTACGACATTCTTGGGAGAGCCAATCTTGCAAATTTTCGATATGGCTGACCTTTTGGAACCCCCTCGCACGTTATACGAGAGCACGCTTTCACTCCGGGCTAGGGATCAGCAGATGAATCATTACCTGGACCTCTCTGTCTCCCCCCCTAGATCACTACTCACGCAAGGAGCCATGATCGCTTTGATCAAGGAAGAAGCAGAGGCTCCGATAGCATACGTTTTGGATCTCATGCAGGAAATGACAAAACTAACAGGAGTAGAAGTAGCCAAAAGTGTCGTCGATTCTGAAACCGACACCGAGGTTAAGGAGACTGAAATGATCAGCCCGACTGAATCCCAAATGATCGCTACCGTCTTCTCGGTCCGAACCAGTAATTCCATGTTTTCCAGTGTGCACGACAGGCGATCGCGAAAAATGGATTGGATTGAAACACCCATGAACATCGCGAATAATGCAGCAATCACCATCCCCAGTCATGTCCCCCTAGATATCCAAAGATCCCTGATTGATGTGTTGCATGACTATGCTGAGGTATTGAGTGTGGATGACAGTGATATTGGGTTAACTACTGTAATCGAGCATGCGATCCTTGCGGGGGATCATCCACCAATTAGTTGCGCTCCTTATCGGTATTCGCCAGCGCAAAGAGCGGCCGCATTTAAAAGGATTCAGGAGTTCGAAGCTAATAGTTGGATCGAACCCGGTATTGGACCATGGTCGTTTCCGGTAGTGACTGTGCCGAAAAAAGCAGGAGGAATTCGCATATGCATCGATTATCGAAAGTTAAACGATACCACGATCAAGGATGTGTATCCTCTTCCCCGGATTGATGAGTTGTTGGATGCTATCAGTGGTGCTCGATTCTTCAGTAAATTTGATATTCCTCATGGATTCCACCATCTCCTGGTTCGAAAAGAAGACCGCCCGAAAACGGCGTTCATTCTCTTCGAAGGAATCTGGCAATGGGTCCGATGTCCGATGGGGATTTCCAATGCCCCAGCCACGTTTCAACGCGCGATGAATATGGCCTTCCAAAACTTCGTGCGAAAAACGCGACTGGCGCAAAGCATAATCAATTACTGTGTGATTGTGTATATGGATGATATCCTTGTGTTTTCCACTTCCTATGAGGGACACGTGCAACACATTGAGTGGACACTGCACACACTGAAGGACGCAGGATTCAAAGTGGCGGTTGAGAAGTGTCAATTCTTTCTCACGGAGATCTCCTTCCTCGGCCACATCGTTACGAGCCAAGGATTGCAGCTAGAGCCCTAGAAAGTGACAGCCGTGAAGGACGCACCGGTGCCAACGTCTGTAACACAAGTCCGCGCCTTTTTGGGTTTGGCGTCGTACTATCGAAGGTTCATCAAGGGGTTTGCAGTGATCGCGGGACCACTCACGAATCTGCTAAAGAAGGATCAGTCGTTGATTTGGACCCCGCAATCCGATCGGGCTTTTGGAGAACTCAAGGCGGCCCTGGTTTCGGCCCCAGTCCTCATAAGGCCGGACCCGGAAAAGCCCTTTGTTCTCATCACCGATTGGCAACTGGAGGCGGTTTCAGCGATCTTGGGCCAGGTGGGACCAGACGGCCTCGAACACGTGGTGGAATACACGTCCAAGACGGTGTCGTCCTGTAAGCGCAACTACGCGGCCCCGACGGGGGAATGCTATGCAGCCTTGTGGGGGATCTGTCATTTCCGAGCGTACTTGTATGGTCGAAGATTTATGCTGGTAACCGATCACGAACCACTGTTGGCGCTGAAGAAGTCCAAGGATTACTCGGGCATGATCGGGCGATGGGCCACCATACTGCATAGCATGGACTTTGACATCCGTCATCAGAAACACGAGAAATACGGCAATGCAGACGGGCTGACATGACTTCACCGTCCTGACAAGGTGCCAAGGAGTGAGGAAGTGACCCCCTGGCGCGACCCGGAACCAAAGAACGAGCCTCGATACGGACAAGTGGAGATCGTACCGAAGGGCTAAGTGGACACATGTACCCGACCCTGCCTCTCCTTCCGATTCTTGTCTCTTGGAACGATGGAAACTCCCCCTGACTCGGTCTCTCCCGCCTCTTCATCTCCCCTCGCCCATTCGGACGTTCTCGTCACTCTCCCGGACAAATTTTGTTATTTTTGCATGTGTATTTCCCGCGTTTACGGAGTGAACTGTTACCCCTTCGAATCTGAATTTGCCGATTGGGTGGACTGTGCCACGTGTGTCAATCGTACGCATGGCGTGTGCGTTCGATACAGAACAAGTAGCAAGGAATAGAGGTGCCCCCTGTGTAGGATGAACAAACTCCCTAATGAGGTTCGATTCGAGGCTGCCCGAACGGACGACCCTGAATACGACGAGAAATACCGACGAGCGGAGGTATGGACATATAAAATCTTATTAGCTAAATTAGTGGGCCTACCGTTGGACCATTTCACTAAGCATGACAGACGTCGGGCTACCGAAAGATCCTGAGATTATCAATGGATCAACGAACATCAAGAAAAGCGTAAGACGGACGGATCGGGACTATGGTTGACGGTTCCCCACCCTTTTCAGAGATATGACTAAACTAGGTCCGCGCACGAAGAACAGGCCGCTCATTTCGCAATATGTGTCACCGAGGCAACTATCGACCAGAATCGATGGTTCTGGTCTAATATCCGAGACGATGTGAAGCACGTGGTCGCTAACTGCCTAGTCTGTGCGGCAGACCGCGCGCCCCTTCGTGAGCCAAATACAATAGTCCCTACAGAGGTAGAACGGCCGTTCCAGCGGGTCAGTATGGACACAACTGATATAGACGTGCCACTTGGCCCCAACCACTGTGAATACTCCATCCTCTTGGTGTTGATCGATCATTTCTCGAAATATATCGAAGTCTATCCGCGTAGAACCCGAAAGGCCTCGGAGATAGCCACATACATCGATCGATTCCTCAATACCCATCTAGATACAGAGGAGATTCTAACCGACAACGGATCGAAATTTAAGGGTGAGGTAGAGGAATTACTAATGCGTCGTGGCGTTACGCTCCGACACACCGCTCCCCATGTTTCCCAGTCGAACGGGATGGCGGAGAATGCGAATCGCATGATTAAGACCGCCCTCCGAAAGAACTTAGCGGCCCGTGACACGCGTTCATGGCCCGAGATAGTCTATTAAATCGTCGGAATCCACCGAGCCACCCCTCACGAGTCCACAGGGTTCACCCCCTTCCAGCGTCGAACTAATAACCTCCCATGTGTCGACAATCGGGGTACCACAAAAATTGCCGACAAAGGGGTTCAGGACACGCGTGCGGCCTTTAAGGCCAAAACCAAGAGATATGTGGATTTAATGGAGAGGGTTGTCCCAAAGCTGGCCTGGAAAAGACAGAAAATGACCGAACTGGCCCACGGTAGAAAGGTCCGTATCTACGAAGTCCGGAACAGGAATGCGGGTCCACAACACCAATATAAGTTAGGGGATCTAGTGCAGGTACGCAAATGTGCACGCGACCGCAAACTCGCTCTCAAATTTTCTGGCTGCTTTCGCGTCGTAGAGCTTGGTCCCAATGGAGCTAACACGGTGCGCATCATGCCCGAAGCCGGCGCCAGCCATAGCTCCCTCCCCATCATCCGCCACACTTCCTACCTTCGTCCTTTCCCTCCTACTGAGAGTCTTAACCCATCTCCTTCTTCTTTGTCCGACGCGACCGAGGAACTTGTTTCCTCTCCTTCGTCTGCATCTACTCCCCCCTTACCTTCGCCATGAGCTTTATGATTGAGCCAGCCCTTCCTTCTCAGCTTCTTCAACCTCGAACCCTGTTGCAATTTCGCCAGGTCGCGCATCCCCGTCTTAGTCTCGATCTTCTCCGGTTTGTGCAACTCTTTGGCGACGAAGCTTGGTGTGCCACTGTGGAGATCACCATATCAACGATCGAGGTTCAGCAATCGTCTTGGCGGAAGTTTTGGGAGTTCGACGCTTCTCGCGGCCTGCTCAGAGCGATGTAACGGTAGTAGTAGCCTTCAGCGGCGATCTGTGTACTATCGGCGTGCAGCGGCGCGATGCAGTGGTGATTGATCTCTACAGGTGGGGACAAGAGTTGGCAACTGATTGGCGGCAGCGACTGGCCCAGCCGAGGCAACAAGTAGTGGGGACTGATTGTATCGACCCCTTCTCCCTCCCGACCAGCGCCACATACTGCCCCTCTCGCCCTCTTCCCCATCTTCATCCCTACCCCGAGCGCCGATGAATCGTTTCTCTACCTTCTCTCTCCCCTCCGACCTCCCGATCATCCGGCCATCCTGGGCAAATCCCATCCTCACTCTAGAAATTCACCCCTCCTCCACCCTTGCATTCAGTTCTGCCTACGTCCGCAAGTGGACCGAGTTCGCAACGGTTAGTGTGTGTGTGCTCAAAGTGAGGTGCCACTGGTCACGATACTATAGTAATCGGGAGCTGGAACACACTCACGAGATCTCGATGCTGTTGGCGCAGATGTGGCCGAACGAGTCGGCCACCGACGGTACGTTGGTGGGATTGTTGTGCGGAGAGATCGCCAAGGGAGGACGAGCCACGGTCGCCTACGAACTTCTCACATTCTTATCGCAGCTCATCGACGATCTTCCGACGGACATCATTTCCTACAATCCAAGCGATCCGAAGCAGACGGCACCTGAAACCCTGGAAAGAAAGTTGACGCCAACCGTAATCTGGGCAAACTGTACGGAGGATTACGGGCAGTATCTAAGCGATCACGATCCAACGGCTTGGTGTTACTTGGACCTGGACGAGCTTGCACCCGACAATTCCGACTTCAACGAGTTTTGGCAGGCGCATTGGGAGAACGGGGAGTTGCCATCAGACGACGATCCAGGTCGCATAGCCATCGCTGGACTATTGGAGGAAGAGGAGCCAGAAGCTCGGTCGACCTCCAAGGAAGAAGGAGAGGCATCAACACCTGAACACCGGGAAGCCTCGCAAGCACCGCCACTCGCTCAAGGAGGATCGGCCTTGAATCCCGCTGTCCCCTCGGACGCTGCTAGCCGGCACGATGGCGCACCAACCTCCCGCCGGCGCCGCCGCCCTCGCTCACCTTCTCCAGCCGCTTCCGCCCCCTCCGCGCTTCGTCCCCATCCTCCTCCCGGCCCGGACATACCGTCCTCGTCTTGTCTACCGCCGCCCTCTTGATTTCCTCCGTTTCCGACCTCTCCCCCACCTTGAATTCCCCTTGGATTATCGCGTCTTCGTCAACCGCCTCTTCTGCCATCACTTCGCTGCTCACCTCCTTTGCACGATCTTCCCCCATCAATCCCCTTCCTTCCCTCTCAATATCCTCCTCTTTAGTGTCGCATGGGCATAGTTCAACCACATGGAATTGTATTGTGTCGTTTCCGACACCTTTCCTGCTATGGAGGACTACAAGTCCTTAAGGGATAACGTCCTCCGCACTATCCCCTCCTTATACCCCGATTACCTCCTTTCCCTATCTCGACCCAATCATTGTTTCCCCCACGCACATCGAATCGTACATTTCGTCGATCTCGGTGATGAAGCGGAGGATTATTTCCCTCCGCTCCCATCTCACTGGCCCCGACCCCTCCATCATCCCCTCCTTGTCGACTACCGCCGGGCGGACTTGCAATAACAAGGCAAGGGTGCAAATCACATGGAGAGTCAGCGGATGATGATGGCGTCACCTGGACGACCTTTAGCGGTTCCAGCAGCTCGAGCCAGCAGACTCGCGAAGAAATTGCAATTAACGTTGGCGTTAGCACGAACTCTAGCTCTAATATCTGCGTTGATGCGAGCATTCTCTCTCCTGATACGCTTGGTTCCTCATTCATCCTCTCATCCCCCTCCCTCCTTCGCCGCCATGGCATGCAATCAGGAGATCGCATAATTTTGGAACCCCCTGCGCATCACATATGTGACGTACTAGCTTTCGAACCTGCGCCATCTTTCGGACCCCTTCCTTTTTCCCGTGTCTTCCCTGCATCCAAATGTGTACAGTTCGATCCTGAACACCCCCCCCCCCCTCTGTCTGTGTCTAATTAAAGGCACCTCGTTGGAATCTGTCAATTTCTTTTTGTTTTGATTGAAAATGCATGGGAATTTCGCGCGCCTTAGCGAGTGCACTTGGAATTTGGCTCGGCAGTTAGAAATCCCGTAATTATCGGAATGACACGCGACCTTCCGCGCACGAATGATCTCGGCCTCGACCTTGAAAACTCTGTGAATTTTTGTAGGAATATGGATGGACGAAAGCTTTTCTTTCCCACGCCTGTTTTGCTAGTAGATATGGTACTTTCAATTTTTGAATAAGCATAGGATTGAGAAAAACTGCAACTGTCTTGGTGCCCATTCCCCTTTTGCCGATCGGCGCCATTCAAGCAACCTCCCTCCTCCTTCCTCCTCGTGCTCGTCTCACCGTCTTTCTTCGCGCTCGCACGCTTTCTCGCTTCCTCCCCATGTAACTGGTTTTCCCTCCCCTTCTCAGCACGCGCTTTTTTCTCCTGCTTGATCATCTGAATCTTGGACCCGTTTCGCGCTATCCTTCGCGCTCTTCTTCTTCCCGCTCTAAGATCTGCGCTCAAAAACCCAGTCGATCCTCTCTCCCCATCTAGCCAAAGAGAAACGCCATGTAAGTTCTTAGTGCACGACGATTCTCATTGGCTGAGGACGAGTTAAGGAGGATCAACATGGCTTTCGACGGACGATCACTCTCAAGTTCTCCTAAACCCACCCCTACCTC